TCTTTCTATACCAGAAGATGTAGTCTATCTATCAAACGAAAAGGTTCATCAATCTTTTTGCAAATGAAACTGAACAGCCTGATTGAATAAGGGAGAGCTGAGGGTAATTACCCTACTCATAATTAGGACACCTAATATAGTATCACCTGAATAGAATGCCCAGATTCGAAGTCAAGAGTAATTGCTACTACGGCTGTATCTCTGAAATTTCAGAAAACATGAAGAACGACAAGCTGATTTCCAAGCGGAACCAGTTTCCTCTGAGGAGTAGCAGTAATAAATACTAATTACATGAAGGATTCAATTGATTATATTCGTAATGGACTTGGCCATTACTTGATGAACAGCCAAAATCAAGTGAAAATTTACTGTGAGATTTTCTCTAACGAGTAAAAAAACCGCAACACGTGACTCGCTATACAGTACTACTAAGTAGTTGATATGAACACGACTGAAAGCTATTTTTATCATACATATTGATTATATTCATTTGAAAAAGTCCTTTCGGAAGAGTAATTCAAAAGAATGCTTCCAATAGAAGAATCACAGAAATATTTCTGAACATATAGCTGAATATTTCACGTGCAAGAGAAGAGAAAATTTATTGCACCATCTTCAATATTCCAGGCCACCAGAGTTGCTTATGATGTTTTGGTCTCCAACTAAAATTTTGCAGCATCAGTGTTCGTGAAAAAAAGAGAGGTGTCAGTGATGAGAGACTGAAAATTTCATAACCCAGTACATACTGTAGGTACTTGTTTCATTCTTCGCATTCTGTTCATTTATTACCTCATGACTTTCTCAATAATCCGAGGACTATCACAAATCGCAAGTGTGTTCCAATAATTGAAAATCTCCATTGAATGATCCTGCACTGACACCTGTCGGATATAATCCAACACCCTTCGTGGTATTAGCAAGGGGAGTGGTTGTTTTCAGTCCATTAACCTACAGTGCGGGGAGTTGAGACTATCCTGAACGAATTGTTCTTTTAGATGATTAGAAATCAAACTTGAAGAAAAACTACTGGGGTCCACAAAAAAATTCATTCGAATTCGAAGAGGTCATTGAGCTTCACAAAATTCCTTGATTTTCTTCTCATAAACATCCTGAGCTATTGAAGAAACTACTGACTTCAATCGTAACGAAATAACGAAATTAAAGAATGTTTTTGGCTTTCTACTGCTCCATCTTGATACAAAATTTATATCAAGATGGAGTAGTAGAAAGCCAAAAACTTTCTTAAGTGAGTGAACAAAGCACCCACGCCGAACCGCTTGGCTACCGACTGACCTCTTGAAAAAATGATAATCTTCCATTTTCGCAGGAAAATCCATCAACTTTTCTCGAATTTATTTCATTTCCAAAGTCGTAATCAAAGTTTTTGCTGTAGAATTTTGAAGTTGAAAATAATATAGTTTTCGAAACTATTATCTTATAACTCCCGGATCGCTATATACAGTGCATTTCTTTAATATTTTCCCCCTTTCATTTTTGGAACGGATCAACTAAAAAAATTATAACTTGGGATAATAGAATTAATGCGTGAATACTTCATTTCGAAATGAAACTCATAGATGAAACTTTCAATATGGCGACTGGGCGCCTTTTGGGAAAAAATTGAATAGAAAGGGGGGTCTTGTGACACATCATTTTGAAGCTCCTGACAAATACTTCACAATCCTAGAATATGAAGTTAATATCTTCACCTACTACAAAATGGGGGAATATTTAAAAATTTTCTGAAGACAAACACATTAATATTGATATTTCTAGAAATATTCCTTTTCATTTGCAATATGGCAATTCCAACAACCCGATGAGGTTTGTTGAGTTAATTTTTGTTTATAAAAACGTCAAAAAATGTCAGTACGACAATGAACTTAATTGTTCAGTTAGAATATTCTTATTTAAAACAAATCATCTAAAAGAACAATTCGTTCAGGCCAGTCTCAACACCCTACACAGTAGGTTAATGGACTGACACCTATCAGAAAACAACTACTCCCCTGGCTAATACCACGAAGGGCGTTGGATTATATCCGACAGGTGTCAGTGCAGGATTCTTCAC